AGGACACAGGCCAGTGGTCCTTACTGGGTACACAGACGCTTCTTGGGCAGACGACGTAGAGACTCTTAGGTCCTCTCAGGGCTACTGCTTTAGCCTTGGTTGAGGTGCTGTTTCGTGGAGAGCCACCCGCTCCTCGTCTGTTGCTCAGTCCAGCTGCGAGACTGAGATCTACGCCGGTGCCATGGCGGCACAGGAGCTCCGCTGGCTGACCTTCTTGCTCACTGACTTAGGTGAGCGGCCTAGCTCTGCCTCTATCCTGTACGCTGACAACAGGGCCATGATCCTCCTGTGTCAGGAGCCTTGACTTGAGGGCAGAGCAAAGCACATCCAGCTGCGGTACTTCCTCCTGCGCGAGCTATAGCAGTGTCGTCGGTGCCAACACAGCTGATATGTTTACGAAGGCGCTTGCGCCTAAAGATCATCAGCGGCACTGTGTTCAACTTGGTCCTGTGGCCTCTCATTTGCTATGGCCTTGATTGTGTACAGACCTTCATATATACATATTACCCAGACTGGCCTTGTGGCCTCTCCCAGTGGTTGGACTAGTAGTGCCGCCCTGGTCTTGCTCTTGTCTTGTCTGTACTCCTTTTGACCAGGGCTGACGTTTCAAAAAAAAGCACCCTGAGCTGTCGAATGTGGAAAAAAAATTACCCTGAAGGCCTAGTGTTGGAATTTTGACTTCCCTGATTTCTCAGGGTTGGCTAGCAACAATCAGGGTTGCATTGCACTTGGAAAAAATCAACTAGGAATGTACAGCTACTAGTTAAGTAAAAGTACCACTACGCCTCGCCAGTCTACAAGTCCTCTATCTAGTCCAGACTTCACAATATTCCACGACACTAGCTACACTTGACTAAAATTCTGGGCCATCCATGTTCACTTCGTCTTCTGCCTCGTCATCGGACAGAAAGGGGTTGTCTTCCACTTCAAGAGGAGCCTCTCCCCCCACTCCCCCCTCCCCCTCTCCCTCATCCTCTGCCCAATCCCCCATGTAGTCGGGGACTGCCTCCTCCTCCACCCTCACTTCTGCCCCCTCAATCTCCTTCGCCTTACACTTCCTCTCCGCTGCGGCAAACAGAACAGACTTAGCAGGGCGCCTCAGCTTCTCGCGCCAACACCCAAGGGCCTCGTCCCAGTCAGTCTCGTACTGCAGCAGGGAAATGACCATCAGCTCGCTGAGGCGTGCATTGCACAACGTGCCCCGCACCCATGACTTGATGACGTTCTGCCGCGAGATCCCTCGTTCACACTCCACTGTACTAAGCGGCAGGACAGCGCACGCCTGCCACAAGCGCATGAGGTTCGGCCAGCGCCTGCCAAAAGGGTTGGGGGAACAGAGTACACGGAAAAAGACCAGTGCATTAGCGATGCTAGTCAACAATCGATAAACAACAACATCCAAAGGGAAGAATAAAACCGCCCAAAAAAAATGCAACAATCGTCCTTCGAGCAGCACTCTCTCACAAGGTCGACTCCGTCGAGCCGAGGTAGTTCGTCAGGCCTTGATGTAATCCCTCGTCGGCATGGTGGCTCAGCATCAGTGGCGCCCACGTGACCAGCTCCTTCTGCGCAGCTTGCAAGGAAAAGCCTGTCAGCCTGTTGTCGAACAAGGCACTGCAGCCATGTAGGTACTCCTTCATCTTCTTCTCTCTCTGCTGCTTCATCTGGGGCCACTTCGACACGCGGAAGAGCTTCCTCGGGCCGAGATTGTTCAGGTCCAGTATCCTCGTCTTCAGGAAGCTTATTGTGTCCTTTGCAAACTGCACGCAGAGCCGCTCGCAATCGGGGTACTTGCTGCAGAAGGCATGCCCGTCGATCTGCTTCTCATGCATGGTGTAGGTGTGCGTGACTGGGTTGCCGTCCTTGTTGATGCCCCGCACCTTTACGCGTTTGCCCCCTCCGCGCCCGTAGACCGCCAAGAAAGCCGAAAGCCACGTGCCTTCGACACCCCCACCGAACACCTCTCCGCACTCCAAGTAGCGGTGGCAGAGGTCCCCTGTCGCCTCGTCGATGTCCTTTGTCACTTCGGTGACATCGACCTGATGGACGTGACAGACAAGGGAGTGGAGTCAGAGGGTGATTCCAAACGTGGATGCATGGGACAAAACTACAACATCCACAGTGGTAGAAGCTCACCTCCCTCTTCTGGAATTTGAGGTTGAGCTCATTCATCACTCCGAGCACGTCCGCCAGGAAAAAAAGACAGAATTGGAACTTGTAACAGATGACGACCTCATACAGCTCATGCCCGTACTCATAAAAGAGAATGATAGCGGCGCCAAGGACCTTACAGAGGCGCCTCACAGCCTCACCCCTTGAAAGCCAGCGCACCGTGTGAATTCCTTGCACTTCAAGGTTGGTGTTGTGTATTGCCCACTGCAGGTACTTGAAGCGTTGACTCCAGACACATGAACGTCCCAGAAGATCGGCCAGAGTCCGAATCACAAGGTTGACCATATCAAAGTCTGGAGAAGCAGTGGCCGCGTCCTTTACCGCCAAGGCTTCCCTGCATGGTGCACACGAAAGAATTTTAGACAAGCAGTTGTAGGAACCTTAAGCGACTGAAATGACGCTAGGTTTAACCTGTGGGCGATGCAGTGCGACGAGACGAGGTGGGGGATGTGCTCGCGAAGTCGGGCGACGAGACCATTGTCTCAGCCGACCATGACAGAGGCGCCGTCGGTGCTCATGCCGGTGATTCGGGAGAGGTCGATGCCAGTTGCTCGCAAGTGAGCCAGAAGAACGGCGAGGAGAGACGCGGCCCGCACTTTTCGACGGTCAAGAGAGCAAAAAACTCTGTGACAACACGATGCGCACGCAAGAAGGTCAGATAAACAATAAGATGTTTACCGCGAGTACGGTCAGTGCTCTCGTCGTAGCTGATGCCGAGGTAGGGTGAGGCGAGAATGTAGTGCATTTGTCGGCGATGCAGGTAGGTTGCCAGGCTGCTGACGAGCTGACAGAAGCCATACATGTAGTACCAGAAGTGACAACAAGGTGTTGGTTAGACATTTTTGAAAAATGAAGGACATGGTGTACTTCGAATAAGTGCATTACCGTGTCAGGTAGACTCCGTAAGACTGCAGCGGAATGTCCGGTGTCTCCTGCTCGGCCATGAAGCGGAGTAGCCTCGGGTACATGCTGATGGGTGCATCACACTTGCACAGGAAGTCGACGCAGCGTAGGAGCCTCATGACGCGCTTCCCCTCGATGTCAATCCACGCGTAATTCTCCATGCGCCTCTGGGTGCTGGCGATGTCTTTGGCGATCTCCATCCGACGCTTGACTGCTACTTCGTGGGCTGTCGTGTGTTCGTGGAACCGCATCGCTTGCGTCTGCAGGTCACGTGCCCCGTCGCGGCTGTTGGAGTACGGTGTTGTCTCTTTGCCGAAAGCCTTGCACACACTGCACTTCAAATCAGGGTAACCGTCTTTCGTTTTCGTTAGCAGAAGCCAAGGGAAAAATGGAAGCCAGCTGGTCTTATACTTGTGCTCAGCCATGAGATACTTCTGCTCGATGAGTTCCTTCTTTGAGAGATTCGGCGGCTCGGGTTCTGGAATACCAGGGGCCTGAGGTTCAGGCGACGTGCGAGGCGGCGACCGTCGATGTAGCTTCCCGCCGAGGACTATCGTGCTCTGGGTGTACTTCCCGACGCGTGCTTATATCCCAGATGAAAACGTCGACGCACACTCGACCGTGTAACGCACGGTCGTGGCTGTCTCGCAGTCTGGAACCAAAGGGCCCCGGCTAGATGAGGCGACAGCGGGCGGAGGTACATAGGGAGCGGCGGGAGTAGATACGGGTTGTGATGGTGTAACGACTGCGGTTGGAGACCGCAAGATGTCTAGAGCGGATCTACGGACCTCCACGGGGGGGTCCCTACCTAGTCCAGAACCATCATCGGCAGTGGGAGACTCACCAGAGTCTCCTACATCCGCCATGGCTAGAAGCGACGGATATGATGGAAATGAGAAATCGGCGCGACGAAACTAGAGGAGACAGAAGACTGGAGCATCTCGTAGCTATGACGTGAAGGAATGAAAAAAACTGGGTTGGAGGAGGAGCTGGTGAAGAAGACGGGAAGAGGACCAAGAGGCCCCATCTTTCGATTTTCATGGATGGTGCATAACCCATCCAGGTTCCCGTATCGCCATGGCGATACCGTCAACGGCGAGACGCACCTGCGCTGGCATCGTCTGCACTGAGATGATTGGCGGGGTGATGTCATACAGAGGCTGACATTGCCGCGCTCATCATATTCTGTACTCGTCTGCTGCGTGCTGAGTCACGAATGCCAGTTGACGGTTGCAAATGTTGCTGTAATGGCAACATACAGCGTGTACACGGCGAGAATCTTGCCGAGTGCAGATTCCCCATGTGACGCATGCTGGGCGTGTTCAATGGACTGGGCCCCGTCACGCGTAAGGGGGCCATTTCGAGGAAACTCAGGGTCCGCATGGATGTCGCATTCAGGGTTCGTACGCGTTACTCCCTGAAAACTCAGTGTTGGGATAACGCAAACCCTGAAATTTTAAGTGTTCACAGACATACAACCCTGAAGAGGTTAGGGTTCAAAAAAACCCGACCCTGAAAATTAAGGGTTGGCCAAAAAAATACCCTGTGAAATCAGGGAATCAGGGTAAAATACCCTGATAACTACAGGCCTGCTTTTGACTGGTCTTTAGACCCATGCCTCAGAGGCTGGAGTAGTAGTGCCGCCCTGAGCTGCTTGTTCTCCCCGTTAGGCACTGCCCCTATATAGTCTAGGGGGTGTGTCAAACATAACTTAGTATGTTAGTGTAGACAATATAGGTTTGTGCCTTAGAGGGTACAACACACTTGCCTACATTCCCTTGTACTGCCTCATTCTAGTCATTCTTACATTCTGACATGCATGTATAAGCCTAGAAACAATCAGATTCAAAATGAATTATACATAACATATGGGTGTTATGTTTTTCGAGACCACTGTTAACACCCAGTCATTTTTATAATGAATTATTACATCCACCATAGGGTGTTATATACGTGGGATTACAGTAACTGAGTTGTGACAAATCCCTCATTCTAGAAAGGCTAGCTGCCACAACTTCTAAGATACACACATGAGGTGCTCCAGAATTGTGGCTTTCATACCAGACATGCTGCAAGGCAACACATTGATGTGGTACTTTTGCAAGGTTTGAGATGTCTCAAAGATGCAGCTGCTGCCCTGGGAGTCATTTGAGGCTGTCATAACCGCTTGCTGTTATAACCGCTTCGCACGCCAATCAAATATTTCAGCTTCGATATCATCCTCCTCCTCGTCTTCATCATCTTCCTCGTCCTCGTCTCCCTCCTCGTCACCCTCCTCCTCATCATCATCTCCCTCCACTTCTTCCTCTTCCTCCTCCTCCTCTCCCTTCTCGTCCCCACTCCCCCTCCCACCCTCCCCTCTCCCTCCCTGCTCCTCTCCCCCTTCTCTTATATTTCCTCCCTCAATCTCTTCCACTCCCCCTCCTCTCCCTCCCACACCGTTCATCATCACATCCCCTCCTGCTCCTCCCTCCCCCTCGTCACCGCTCTCCCTGGCTTGCCGCTGCCGATACCGCTCAAGGCGCTCCAAGAGAAGACTGCACAAGAGAAGGTGGTGGAGGGCGGGAGAGGGAGGGCGGGTTGGGGTGGGGTGGAGGTATAGTGGGTGGTGAGTGACACGTGCTGCTGCTGATTCCGACCAGTGCGCTCCAGAAGAAGACTGAGCACAAGGGGGCAGGGGGCGGAGAAAAGTAGAGAGTTGTGCATCAAGCAGCAGGCTGACCGAAAGCAGTGGTTGCAAAGTGGGCGGTACTTGACACATCAGCAGGAGGGGCGATAGTGCTAGGGGACTCCAGGAGCAGACGGGCCAGGAGTGTGTTACATGGGGCCAATACAGGTGCATGTCAGCAGGTGATCAAGGCATCCAAAGTGGATGTCGGGACCGGTGCATGGCACCGAGGAAGGCGCACGATAGCAGACCGAACAAGGGCATGGGAGCAGGTGCGGGTACAAGGGCATGGGAGCAAGTGCTTATACAATGGCATGTCTGTTCAGCAGGCGATACGTAGGCAGGTGCGTGGGTGTGTGGGCAAGCTGCAGCCAGTGTCCGCCGTGGGGAGGCAGGGCGTGGGATGGTGGAGGCAGGGCGTGGGATGCTTCAAGCTGCTTCAAGCTGCTGCAACACAGATGCGCCATGTATGCCCCCTCACCGCTGCATGAGCTGGTCTCTCGCCTCCCGCTCGTCTGCTGCCTCCCTCTGATGCAGTTGCAAACACAGTGATGCCGTTTCATGGTGGCGTGGGTTTGGACAGGGAGGAGATGGCGATGAGAAGATGCTGCACTCAACAAGGGATGCTGCACTCAACAAGGGATGCTGCACTCAACAAGGGATGCTGCACTCAACAAGGGATGTTGCACTCAACAAGGGATGTTGCACTCAACAAGGGATGTTGCACTCAACAAGGGATGTTGCACTCAACAAGGGATGCTGCACTCAACAAGGGATGCTGCACTCAACAAGGGATGTTGCACTCAACAAGGGATGCTGCACTCAACAAGGGATGCTGCACTCAACAAGGGATGTTGCACTCAACAAGGGATGCTGCACTCAACAAGGGATGTTGCACTCAACAAGGGATGTTGCACTCAACAAGGGATGTTGCACTCAACAAGGGATGCTGCACTCAACAAGGGATGTTGCACTCAACAAGGGATGTTGCACTCAACAAGGGATGTTGCACTCAACAAGGGATGCTGCACTCAACAAGGGATGCTGCACTCAACAAGGGATGTTGCACTCAACAAGGGATGTTGCACTCAACAAGGGATGTTGCACTCAACAAGGGATGTTGCACTCAACAAGGGATGCTGCACTCAACAAGGGATGTTGCACTCAACAAGGGATGTTGCACTCAACAAGGGATGTTGCACTCAACAAGGGATGTTGCACTCAACAAGGGATGTTGCACTCAACAAGGGATGTTGCACTCAACAAGGGATGTTGCACTCAACAAGGGATGTTGCACTCAACAAGGGATGTTGCACTCAACAAGGGATGTTGCACTCAACAAGGGATGTTGCACTCAACAAGGGATGCTGCACTCAACAAGGGATGTTGCACTCAACAAGGGATGCTGCACTCAACAAGGGATGTTGCACTCAACAAGGGATGCTGCACTCAACAAGGGATGTTGCACTCAACAAGGGATGTTGCACTCAACAAGGGATGCTGCACTCAACAAGGGATGTTGCACTCAACAAGGGATGTTGCACTCAACAAGGGATGTTGCACTCAACAAGGGATGTTGCACTCAACAAGGGATGTTGCACTCAACAAGGGATGTTGCACTCAACAAGGGATGTTGCACTCAACAAGGGATGTTGCACTCAACAAGGGATGCTGCACTCAACAAGGGATGTTGCACTCAACAAGGGATGTTGCACTCAACAAGGGATGCTGCACTCAACAAGGGATGTTGCACTCAACAAGGGATGTTGCACTCAACAAGGGATGCTGCACTCAACAAGGGATGTTGCACTCAACAAGGGATGCTGCACTCAACAAGGGATGTTGCACTCAACAAGGGATGTTGCACTCAACAAGGGATGTTGCACTCAACAAGGGATGTTGCACTCAACAAGGGATGTTGCACTCAACAAGGGATGCTGCACTCAACAAGGGATGTTGCACTCAACAAGGGATGCTGCACTCAACAAGGGATGCTGCACTCAACAAGGGATGTTGCACTCAACAAGGGATGTTGCACTCAACAAGGGATGCTGCACTCAACAAGGGATGTTGCACTCAACAAGGGATGTTGCACTCAACAAGGGATGTTGCACTCAACAAGGGATGTTGCACTCAACAAGGGATGTTGCACTCAACAAGGGATGCTGCACTCAACAAGGGATGTTGCACTCAACAAGGGATGTTGCACTCAACAAGGGATGTTGCACTCAACAAGGGATGCTGCACTCAACAAGGGATGCTGCACTCAACAAGGGATGTTGCACTCAACAAGGGATGTTGCACTCAACAAGGGATGTTGCACTCAACAAGGGATGTTGCACTCAACAAGGGATGCTGCACTCAACAAGGGATGTTGCACTCAACAAGGGATGCTGCACTCAACAAGGGATGTTGCACTCAACAAGGGATGCTGCACTCAACAAGGGATGTTGCACTCAACAAGGGATGTTGCACTCAACAAGGGATGCTGCACTCAACAAGGGATGTTGCACTCAACAAGGGATGTTGCACTCAACAAGGGATGCTGCACTCAACAAGGGATGTTGCACTCAACAAGGGATGCTGCACTCAACAAGGGATGTTGCACTCAACAAGGGATGTTGCACTCAACAAGGGATGTTGCACTCAACAAGGGATGCTGCACTCAACAAGGGATGCTGCACTCAACAAGGGATGTTGCACTCAACAAGGGATGTTGCACTCAACAAGGGATGCTGCACTCAACAAGGGATGTTGCACTCAACAAGGGATGTTGCACTCAACAAGGGATGCTGCACTCAACAAGGGATGTTGCACTCAACAAGGGATGCTGCACTCAACAAGGGATGTTGCACTCAACAAGGGATGCTGCACTCAACAAGGGATGTTGCACTCAACAAGGGATGTTGCACTCAACAAGGGATGTTGCACTCAACAAGGGATGTTGCACTCAACAAGGGATGCTGCACTCAACAAGGGATGCTGCACTCAACAAGGGATGTTGCACTCAACAAGGGATGTTGCACTCAACAAGGGATGCTGCACTCAACAAGGGATGCTGCACTCAACAAGGGATGTTGCACTCAACAAGGGATGTTGCACTCAACAAGGGATGCTGCACTCAACAAGGGATGTTGCACTCAACAAGGGATGCTGCACTCAACAAGGGATGTTGCACTCAACAAGGGATGCTGCACTCAACAAGGGATGTTGCACTCAACAAGGGATGCTGCACTCAACAAGGGATGTTGCACTCAACAAGGGATGTTGCACTCAACAAGGGATGCTGCACTCAACAAGGGATGTTGCACTCAACAAGGGATGTTGCACTCAACAAGGGATGCTGCACTCAACAAGGGATGCTGCACTCAACAAGGGATGTTGCACTCAACAAGGGATGCTGCACTCAACAAGGGATGTTGCACTCAACAAGGGATGTTGCACTCAACAAGGGATGTTGCACTCAACAAGGGATGCTGCACTCAACAAGGGATGCTGCACTCAACAAGGGATGTTGCACTCAACAAGGGATGTTGCACTCAACAAGGGATGCTGCACTCAACAAGGGATGTTGCACTCAACAAGGGATGCTGCACTCAACAAGGGATGTTGCACTCAACAAGGGATGTTGCACTCAACAAGGGATGTTGCACTCAACAAGGGATGCTGCACTCAACAAGGGATGTTGCACTCAACAAGGGATGCTGCACTCAACAAGGGATGCTGCACTCAACAAGGGATGTTGCACTCAACAAGGGATGTTGCACTCAACAAGGGATGCTGCACTCAACAAGGGATGTTGCACTCAACAAGGGATGTTGCACTCAACAAGGGATGTTGCACTCAACAAGGGATGTTGCACTCAACAAGGGATGCTGCACTCAACAAGGGATGCTGCACTCAACAAGGGATGTTGCACTCAACAAGGGATGTTGCACTCAACAAGGGATGCTGCACTCAACAAGGGATGCTGCACTCAACAAGGGATGTTGCACTCAACAAGGGATGTTGCACTCAACAAGGGATGCTGCACTCAACAAGGGATGCTGCACTCAACAAGGGATGTTGCACTCAACAAGGGATGCTGCACTCAACAAGGGATGTTGCACTCAACAAGGGATGCTGCACTCAACAAGGGATGTTGCACTCAACAAGGGATGTTGCACTCAACAAGGGATGCTGCACTCAACAAGGGATGTTGCACTCAACAAGGGATGTTGCACTCAACAAGGGATGCTGCACTCAACAAGGGATGTTGCACTCAACAAGGGATGCTGCACTCAACAAGGGATGTTGCACTCAACAAGGGATGCTGCACTCAACAAGGGATGTTGCACTCAACAAGGGATGTTGCACTCAACAAGGGATGCTGCACTCAACAAGGGATGTTGCACTCAACAAGGGATGTTGCACTCAACAAGGGATGCTGCACTCAACAAGGGATGCTGCACTCAACAAGGGATGCTGCACTCAACAAGGGATGTTGCACTCAACAAGGGATGTTGCACTCAACAAGGGATGCTGCACTCAACAAGGGATGTTGCACTCAACAAGGGATGCTGCACTCAACAAGGGATGTTGCACTCAACAAGGGATGCTGCACTCAACAAGGGATGCTGCACTCAACAAGGGATGTTGCACTCAACAAGGGATGTTGCACTCAACAAGGGATGTTGCACTCAACAAGGGATGTTGCACTCAACAAGGGATGTTGCACTCAACAAGGGATGTTGCACTCAACAAGGGATGCTGCACTCAACAAGGGATGTTGCACTCAACAAGGGATGTTGCACTCAACAAGGGATGCTGCACTCAACAAGGGATGTTGCACTCAACAAGGGATGTTGCACTCAACAAGGGATGCTGCACTCAACAAGGGATGTTGCACTCAACAAGGGATGTTGCACTCAACAAGGGATGCTGCACTCAACAAGGGATGTTGCACTCAACAAGGGATGCTGCACTCAACAAGGGATGCTGCACTCAACAAGGGATGCTGCACTCAACAAGGGATGCTGCACTCAACAAGGGATGCTGCACTCAACAAGGGATGTTGCACTCAACAAGGGATGTTGCACTCAACAAGGGATGCTGCACTCAACAAGGGATGCTGCACTCAACAAGGGATGTTGCACTCAACAAGGGATGCTGCACTCAACAAGGGATGTTGCACTCAACAAGGGATGTTGCACTCAACAAGGGATGTTGCACTCAACAAGGGATGCTGCACTCAACAAGGGATGTTGCACTCAACAAGGGATGTTGCACTCAACAAGGGATGCTGCACTCAACAAGGGATGTTGCACTCAACAAGGGATGCTGCACTCAACAAGGGATGCTGCACTCAACAAGGGATGTTGCACTCAACAAGGGATGCTGCACTCAACAAGGGATGCTGCACTCAACAAGGGATGCTGCACTCAACAAGGGATGCTGCACTCAACAAGGGATGTTGCACTCAACAAGGGATGTTGCACTCAACAAGGGATGCTGCACTCAACAAGGGATGTTGCACTCAACAAGGGATGTTGCACTCAACAAGGGATGCTGCACTCAACAAGGGATGTTGCACTCAACAAGGGATGCTGCACTCAACAAGGGATGTTGCACTCAACAAGGGATGTTGCACTCAACAAGGGATGTTGCACTCAACAAGGGATGCTGCACTCAACAAGGGATGTTGCACTCAACAAGGGATGTTGCACTCAACAAGGGATGTTGCACTCAACAAGGGATGCTGCACTCAACAAGGGATGTTGCACTCAACAAGGGATGTTGCACTCAACAAGGGATGTTGCACTCAACAAGGGATGCTGCACTCAACAAGGGATGTTGCACTCAACAAGGGATGTTGCACTCAACAAGGGATGTTGCACTCAACAAGGGATGTTGCACTCAACAAGGGATGTTGCACTCAACAAGGGATGCTGCACTCAACAAGGGATGTTGCACTCAACAAGGGATGCTGCACTCAACAAGGGATGCTGCACTCAACAAGGGATGTTGCACTCAACAAGGGATGTTGCACTCAACAAGGGATGCTGCACTCAACAAGGGATGTTGCACTCAACAAGGGATGCTGCACTCAACAAGGGATGCTGCACTCAACAAGGGATGTTGCACTCAACAAGGGATGCTGCACTCAACAAGGGATGTTGCACTCAACAAGGGATGCTGCACTCAACAAGGGATGCTGCACTCAACAAGGGATGCTGCACTCAACAAGGGATGTTGCACTCAACAAGGGATGCTGCACTCAACAAGGGATGTTGCACTCAACAAGGGATGTTGCACTCAACAAGGGATGCTGCACTCAACAAGGGATGTTGCACTCAACAAGGGATGCTGCACTCAACAAGGGATGCTGCACTCAACAAGGGATGCTGCACTCAACAAGGGATGTTGCACTCAACAAGGGATGCTGCACTCAACAAGGGATGCTGCACTCAACAAGGGATGCTGCACTCAACAAGGGATGTTGCACTCAACAAGGGATGTTGCACTCAACAAGGGATGCTGCACTCAACAAGGGATGTTGCACTCAACAAGGGATGCTGCACTCAACAAGGGATGTTGCACTCAACAAGGGATGTTGCACTCAACAAGGGATGTTGCACTCAACAAGGGATGCTGCACTCAACAAGGGATGTTGCACTCAACAAGGGATGCTGCACTCAACAAGGGATGCTGCACTCAACAAGGGATGCTGCACTCAACAAGGGATGTTGCACTCAACAAGGGATGTTGCACTCAACAAGGGATGAGCCAACAATGCCATCCCATGGCGCGGAGGGATGGAATGACATGTCATGGCATGAGTTGGCACGGCAAAGCATCGCATGGCACACAGGCAATCAGCAAAATGCAAGCTGGATCAGCAGTGGGTTAAAGAGGCGAGCAATGCGGGTAACAAAGAGGCAAGGTGGTACAAAGGACAACCCCAGGAAGGGCTTCTCCTCCTCACTTCCTTCCTCGCTTCCCTTCTCACTCGTTGACCCCCTTTTTCTAATCTGGCGCATCTCACCACCCCCCGTCTGTCCTTTCTCCAGTCCTTGCCCTTTCCGCTCCCTGCCTCCGCTGCCCTCACCTCCTCGTCCTCCTGCAGCACATCAGCGCGCTCCATGTCCGCCTTGATCGACTGCTCAAACTCCTTTAACTGCTCCCTGCACATGCCGATATGCAGAATGACAGTTGCACTCAAAAGACATGAGCAGCGGCAACAAGTCCACGTGCTCCATGCCCCCTCGCATTGACCGCTCACACTCCCTCAGCTGCTCCCTGCAAACACGGGTAGGATGATGGCATTTAATAGTCGCGAGCAGAGCAGCACGCCGATGTGCTCCATGCCGCCTTTCAGTTACCGCTCCCTGCACATGCCAATAGGAATGTGACATTTTCTGCTCAACCTCCCCCAGCTGCTCACACCACACCTCCCATGAGCATCGCCTCCCATGAGCATCACCGGCAATGCGCTCCTTGTACTCCTCAGATCGGCAATCCCTCACCACCTACACCACCCATGCCGCCATCACTCACTCACTATCTGGCTTCTCACCCCTCTCCCCTATCTCTGCCTCTCTCCCCCCATTTCGACCCGCTTTAACACTGTCCAATACACTGCCATCATCACCCATGAAAAACTCTGCAATACGGTCACTTCCTCCTGCACCCAACTGCATCTCTCTCCACATCTGCCTTCTCTTATACTCCACCCCTCACGCCGTGTGGTCTGCCTGCTTGCTGTCAAAGAAACCCTCGGGGAGAACACACTGTGCCCCCCTTGCTCCCACCTTCCTTGCTCCCACTTTCTGTGCTCTCACCATTCCCAGCAACCACATCAAATGCCACTCACTCGGCATCCAGCTTCGTGTACTCCACCCCTCGCGCCTTGTGGTCCGCCTCCTTGCTGTCAAAGAAGCTGCTACCACCATACCCCAACCTTCTCAAACCCTGCACTGCACTCACTGCACACCACCCAGGCTGCCACCGCCACTCACTCGGCGTCGGGCTTCTTGTACGCCACCCCGCGCGCCTTGTGGTCCGCCTCCTTGCTGTCAAAGAATCCCTCCGGCAGAACGCCCTGCGCCGCCCCACCCTCCTTGCCTACCCCACCTTTCCCCGCCCCTGCTCCCTCCTTCCCTCCCCTCTCAACGGCAGCAGCAGCAGCAGCAGGGGCAGCAACAGCAGCGGCTGCTGCAGCTGCTGATGTTGAGGGTTTATCAAAGAAATGAGGTGGAAGAGCAGAGGATGCGGCAGGAGTAGACGGGGTAGTGGGCGTTGCAGCGGCAGGTGAGGGGGCATCAAAGAAATCCGCTGGCAGACCGGTAGTGCTGGGAGGAGCAGCGGAGGCAGCCGAGGCAGGGGCAGTGGCAGGAGCCGCAGGGGCAGCAGATGCGGCAGCGGCAGCAGATGCGGCAGCGGCAGCAGATGCGGCAGGGGCAGATGCGGGTGCTCCAGAAGCTGTCCTCCCTGGCAACGCGGCTGCTGCTGGCTCTGCTGCTGCGGCGGCAGAGGCTGATGCCCTGGCAGAGCCGGAGGCAGCAGTGGTGGGCTCGGCAGAGCGCGAGTCTGTTGGGAGGGGGGCGAAGTGGGGGGGGAGGCGGAAGAGGAGGGGAGAGGAGGGGAGGAAGGGAGAGGAGGGGAGAGAATGGGAGAGGAGGGGAAAGGAGGGGAGAGGAGGGGAGAGGAGGGGAGAGGAGGGGAGAGGTTGGGGGAGGATGGGAGAGGAGGGGAGAGGATGGGGGAGGAGGGGAGAGGAGGGGAGAGGATGGGGGAGGAGGGGAGAGGATGGGGAGGAGGGGAGGAGGGGAGAGGATGGGAGAGGAGGGGAGAGGAGGGGAGAGGATGGGGGAGGAGGGGAGAGGATGGGGGAGGAGGGGAGAGGATGGGGGAGGAGGGGAGAGGATGGGGGAGGAAGGGAGAGGATGGGGGAGGAGGGGAGAGAGGATGGGGGAGCTTAGTTGGCACTTTACTGTCTTCCAAGTCACGTGAACGTAAAATTACTTGTACACTACGTTTACGCTTTTCTACTCGTAAATTTACGTGAATATAGACGGGCAGCTTAAAGCCCGCGGCCCAAAACGTTCATGCTTTAGAAACATGTCGTGCTACAGTTAGATCTTTTGTGAGTGGCGAAATTGCTGATTTCGGCAAACCTGTCGAGAGTGGATTTCGTTTCGCTTAGTCAGCAAATCCCAGGGGCACTGGTTGGGTTGGGATGCAGAAGTCCCAAATTGCAACGACCCCCATTTTCAAGTTCCCGCAGGCCAAACCACGCAAACCCCCCAGTCAAGATTTCGACCAATCAGGTGCCTTCGCTGTGTGTAACCCCAGTTTCGTGAAAAAACGCCCCAAAATCGTCAGATTTCATATTTCTAAAGCTTGAACCACGCAACACGCAATTTGGGACTCGGGCTTAAAAAAAACAGGGGCAGGAAGAGAGGGGAGATTGACTTAGACCGGGGAGCAGTCATGTCTATGGTATGCTTGCGCACTGTTGTCTACCACCTTACTTTGGTGTTAAAACAAAACAAATGTGGGTGGTAAATCTAGTTTCTTATGTCTCTCTGCTTTGTGCATACTTAAAAGGATTATGAGATCCCCCTATCCCAGGGCAGCTACGAAACATACTATGCCGCCCGTAAACATAAAGCCATTTCGGCCCAACGGAAATAAACACAAGTTTACTACGTAAATGTAAAGCCCTGTCCAGATAAAATGGCAACTAAGTGGGGGAGGATGAGAGAGCAGGTGAGCTAGAGAGAGGCGGGGCAGGGGAGCAAGAGCGCTACATTGAATGGCTTGACAGCTTTTTAGTCAGCAGATAGTCGCTGGGATTCTGTGGCACGTGCCAAGGTGGCACTTGAAAATATTGGGAGGAAGGCCTAGGAATGGCACGTGTACCGTGGCACACTTACCGTGGCACACTTACCGTAGAACACTTACTGTGGCACACTTACCGCGGCACACTTACCGTGGCACACTTACCGTGGCACACTTACCGTGGCACACTTACCGTGGCACACTTACCGTGGCACACTTACCGTGGCACGCTCACCGTGGCACCCTTACCGTGGCACACTTACCGTGGCACACTTACCGTGGCGAGGTCGCTTAGCAGCCGAGGCTGAGTCAAAGAAATCACTCGGGAGGGCCGCAGCAGCAGCAGCAGCAGCAGCAACAGAAGGCCTCCCTCCCGCTGCTGCTGCCGCTGTTGGCGCTGCTGCTTGGGAGGCTGCACCTGTTGACCGTTGTGTGGCGGCAGAGGTAGTAGGTGCAGCGGGCGCTGCTGCGGCCTTTGCTTTCTGCTTTAGCCTTTCCGCGCTCTTGGGGGCGGGGGAGGGGGAGGGCGTGATGAAGGGGGGGGCACAAAAAAGGGAGCGAGATGGACAAAAACGGAGAGACACGACAAAAAGGGAGAGAGATGGAGAGCGAGGGGGTTGGGGGAACAGGCGAGAGATAAAGGGGAGACGGAAGACAGGGAAGGCGGAGAGAGAGGGAGCGGAAGGGCAGGGGAAGAGAGATAGGGAGAGAGGGGGAGAGAAAGCGGGAGTGAGCAGAAGAATGAGGGAGGAGAGAGGCTGGGAGGGCACAGAAGGGAAGGAAGGGAAGGGCGTGCAAGACTTGTGAGTCGTGAGGCTTGCATGAGCTCCACAGTGAGACCTCCCACCAAGCCATTGCTGGCGGGTCTTCCCTCCCCCCACCCCGCCCACAACGCATGGGGAATGCCTCAGACTCACCTCCTTGTGTTGCTTGCTGACAAGATGCGCCGCCCAGAGGCTTTCGGATTTGATGACGGTGGTGCAGACACGGCACACCGCCTGCCCAAGCTCATTGTACCTGGAGGCGCGCACGAGCAAGGTGCCTTGAGAGAACTACCCATGATGCCATGCCATGGCGCCGTGTGGCATGGCATGGCATGGCATGGCATGGTATGGTATGGTATGGTATGGCATGGCATGGCATGGCATGGCATGGCATGGCATGGCATGGCATGGCATGGCATGGCATGGCATGGCATGGCATGGCATGGCATGGCATGGCATGGCATGGTATGGAATGGTATGGTATGGTATGGTATGGTATAGTATGGTATGGTATGGTATGGTATGGTATGGTATGGTATGATATGGTATGGTATGGTATGGTATGGTATGGTATGGTATAATATGGTATGGCATGGCATGGCACGGAATGGTATGGTATGGTATGGTATGGTATGGTATGGTAGTATGGTATGGTATGGTATGGTATGGCATGGCATGGCATGGCATGGCATGGTATGGAATGGTATGGTATGGTATGGTATGGTATGGTATGGTATGGTATGGTATGGTATGGTATGGTATGGTATGGTATGGTATGGTATGGTATGGTATGGTATGGTATGGTATGGTATGGTATGGTATGGTATGGTATGGTATGGTATGGTATGGCATGGCATGGTAGCATGGTATGTACGGCATGGTATGGTATGGTATCGCATGGTATGACAGGGGATGGGATGGTATGGCATGGTATGGTACACTCCATGCAACAGTAAGCGCATTGAGCACACATGGTGGACACTGCTGCAAGCAATGGTGGCGGTACACATGTATCTCCTCACCCACCTTGCCCCTCCCCTCCACCATTGCACGTTGCGCGCATCCACACACAAACCCATGCATCCACACACAAACACATGCATCCACACACAAACCCATGCATCCACACACAAACCCATGCATCCACACACAAACCCATGCATCCGCACTCACGTCTACCTGTTAGGTCATGCCTCTCACCCAGCAGCCGCACCTACCAACCGAGCCTAGTTTTACCGCACCTACCAACCGAGCCTAGTTTTACCGCACCTACCAACCGCACCTACTACTGGCGACTCGATGCGCTTCTCCGTCTTCTGCGCCACTTTCGTGCATAATTGCCCCGCACCACCCCTCTCCAGGCCACATCACCCCTCATCACCCCTCAACATCCCTCCGTTCCTAGTGCCACACCTCACTAGCGGCGATTCGATGCGCTTCTCCGTTTTCTGCGCCATCTCGCGCATCATCGCGCGGAGTGCGCCCTTGTCCCGCCCCGCCCGCCCCGCCATCTGCGCGCGCGCCGGGGATATTGATTTCGAGGCGCCTAAAAAAGCGGTGAACTGGGATACGGGTCGGTCGGTCGAACGCCGCGCAGCGCTCTGGCGCGCGAAATTCCCGCGATATGAGAATCCCCGCTGGAATCACGACGAACGACAATGAGGCGCGGAAGTCTACGACTCTCAGCCTGTAGCCTATTAATTTTCCGCCGTTGATTGTCCAACCCGATCACTAACGCCGTCGACTTTGTGCTTCAACCAAAGTGTCCGTTTTGACGGAATATGTTGGCTTGGTCGTCAGGAACTGCGTTCTTTCAGGTAAAGTACTTCAATGCTCGCTCAACTATACGCATTGAAAGGTTATCCGATATGTTCAACTTTCAAGTATGATACACCCACGCTTTTGGGTTCGCCAATATATCCACAACGTTTTGCAGCCATTGCATTGCAAGACTACCCGGTAGTGAAACGGTGAGATTAAACGAAGCAAGTGCTACGCCTATTTTGCAGGGGCCGCTCATAACACTTGTACCCTGCCAAACGGCAGCTTATCTGGGCACCCAGTAACTCTGTGCAAGCATTGCACATGCTCTGCTCTCAAACGCCTGTATGGCTACGTGGCCACATGCTATGCTTGCCGCTGCTGCTGGCCATGGGATGAAGGACACAGCTGAAAAACAAAAGACAAACGAAGAAGGCGCACATACATTAGATAAGCATGCTCTTATGTTGCTGTGCAAGCAGCACGGTTGGTCGTGGGAGGATACATTACCATAGCCATGACGCTACCCTCTAGATGATCGGATGCTGTGCGCTTAATATATCATGTGCATGTTAATCACTACCTAGGATCATGCAGGCTGCGTACGTGTGGCATACAGTGCCGTTGTACCTTGTAACGATGAGCTGTGTGGAACGACAAGTCATAGGATGTCAGTACCTTGTAATGAACGTGGTGCTTGCAATGGAAAGCTGCCCGATGTTGAATCACCTTGTACCGATGCGACGCGTGAGATGGAAAGTAGTAGAATGTCTCATTACCATGTGTCATTGCCATGCTTCATTACCATGTGTCATTGCCATGCTTCATTACCATGTGTCATTGCCATGCTTCATTACCATGTGTCATTGCCATGCTTCATTACCATGTGTCATTGCCATGCTTCATTACCATGTGTCATTGCCATGCTTCATTACCATGTGTCATACCTTGTAGCGATGCGATGTGTGAGACGAAGAGCAGCACTTGCACAGATAAGAAGAGCATACCCCACTCGTACTTCCATATCTGCGGCAGATGCAGGGTGACATGGGAACAGCGAGCACATCCCGTAACACGATGGCACGATGGCAGAGCACGTGGGCAACAAGCATGGCACAATAGAGACTGGAGATGGGATGACATAAAGTAAGGAAGAGGATGCCTTATGTTCACTTTCATGTCTGTGGCCATTTCCGAGAAAGGAGGCAGAAAGCATGGCTGCAAAACCGATTGATCGCACGGGATGCGGGCGAGCACAAACAGAATTCCAAAAGCATGAGCGGAAGGGGGGAGGGGAGGGTGCCGGGCGAAGGTAGGATGAATGGGGGGACAGGCGGTGTGTCGAAAATTGGATAAGTGGATGAGAGGGTGAGGGTGAGACGGTAAGAGGGTGAGACGGTGAGGGTGAGAGGGTGAGGGTGAGGCGCACACCAGAAGTGGGAGGGCGAGGCACTCCGGGGGGCTGGAGAGGAGGAGGCTGTAGAAGACACAGGGGAAGGGCACACTGGGAGGGGCAGGAGAGGAGACGGGGGAGGAGAGGAGGGAGGAGAGGGGAGAGGAGGGAGCGGTGGGACAGGAAGAAAAGATGAGGAAGCGAGGGGAAGCAAAGGACGCGGAGGAAAAGGAGACAAGAGGTTTAGGAGACAAAGAGATGATGCAGTTAGAATCCAAACGCGTGAGTGAAGCAGGCATGGGTGCCGGCAAGAGTGGAGATAATGAGACTGGGGCTGGAGCGATTGGGGTAATTGAGGAACGAATGATGGCACATCCACGACAGAGAGCATCGGCGCACATGTGAGGGCACCGTGCTTACACGAGTCTTCTGTGTTTCTGTGGCCTTTCTTGAGTGCTGCCTGTGTGAGGTGGACCAATTGCAGGGAGCCAGCTCAGCAAGTGGCGGGCAGCGGGCAGGGAGAAGAAGACTAGAGCGAGGAAGAGAAGCTTGGAGAGCAGAGAGACCGCCACACCCTGCCACCACATGCCGTGACATGCCGTGACATGCCATGCCATTAGGTGCCACCCACCCATGCCATGCCATATCATGCCATGCCATGCCATGCCATATCATGCCGTGCCATGCCATGCCGTGCCATGCCATGCCATGCCGAGCCATGCCGTGCCATGCCATACCGTGCCATGCCGTGCAATGCCATGCCATGCCATGCCGTGCCATAGCATACAAGGCATGGACCGAATGCCATGTCACGAGGGATGAATCAGTTGGAAAAAAGGAGAAACGTTGTCAACTAGATCTAATCAGCAGACTTCGCAAACATGTCCTCCTTACAACTGGCATTACCAGAGAAATGCGGATGGCAAGGACACATTCACATGAACACATTCACATGAACACGTTCACATGAACATATGCATACACAGGGCAAGAATGCAGAGGCAGATGAGGGAGGGACAGCAGCACAGGGAGCGCACCTGAGCCATGATGGGGAGCGCCTGAGCCATGATGGGGAGCACCTGAGCCATGACGGGGAGCACCTGAGCCATGATGGGGAGCACCTGAGCCATGATGGGGAGCACCTGAGCCATGACGGGGAGCACCTGAGCCATGATGGGGAGCACCTGAGCCATGATGGGGAGCACCTGAGCCATGATGGGGAGCACCTGAGCCATGATGGGGAGCACCTGAGCCATGATGGGGAGCACCTGAGCCATGACGGGGAGCACCTGAGCCATGACGGGGAGCACCTGAGCCATGATGGGGAGCACCTGAGCCATGATGGGGAGCACCTGAGCCATGATGGGGAGCACCTGAGCCATGATGGGGAGGGAGATGAGGTCCGCAGGGTCGACTCTGAGCCCTTGAGCCGCACGGAACACGAGCAGCGCTGGGGGGGGGGGAGATGAGAGGAGCCACGATGCAAGGGGATGCGTGGGAAGGGGATGGGTGGGTGAAAAAGGGAAAGAGGGAAAACGACGGGGAAAGACGCCAACGGGATGACGGGAAGGCAGCGAAGCTGGTGGGAGATAGTTATAATGGAGAGATATGTATAAGGTAAGAGACACATGAAAGGTGAAAAGACATGTACAGCATGGCAGTCAGTGGAAAGTCATGCACAACGTGAGATGTGAAGGATACACCTAACATGACAGCATGGCATATGTTAACCTGGCTGGCATGGCATGGCATGAGGGCATGACATGTTAGCATGGCGCATGAGGGCATGACATGTTAGCATGGCGCATGATGTGGCACATGACTCACTGGCATGGCAGAGCAGGATCATGGCCATGGAGAGACACAGGGGGCGCTGATCACAAGCACCGGCGAAGGGTTGGGGGAGGGGAGGACGAGGGGAGGGACGGAAAGGTGGGATGGAGAGAGGGGAAAGGAAAGAGAGAGGATGGGATCGGCAAATACAACAGGTGACCATGGGAAATACAACAGGTGACGATGGGACACGAAAGGTTTCATGCTCTACGTTGTTGCGTGATGCCGAAACGGATACGGAGACAGAGGGGGTATGCGTGGATGATTTTTAAGGCGCCTCAAACTTCATGGAAACAGAGAATGCTACGTGCGAGGAGGGCGATGAAGTCCGCCTGCAGCTCTTCAACCTCCAGTGCTTTCGAGGCGATGAAGTCCGCCTGTAGCCGTTTCTGGTTTGCCTCGTGAATCGCGGCGACGGACGCAGCAGATTTCTCTTTGACGGACGGAAGCTTCGTTTGGAACTCGACGGCCTTGGTGCGGATGCTGTGAAGCAGAACACCTTGAGCATCGAGATCCTTCATCTTCTTAGCTTCTCTTTCGCCTTCAGCAAAGTCTTGAAGTCGTCGCGAAAGCTTTTGACAGCCGACTCCAGCTCCAGATCGCCTGGCGTATCTTGCGGAGCGTGACGATCCTCCCTCCCCACGAACGCGCTGAACCGAGCTACGACCACTTGCACCGGCTTCTTCCTCGTCGGATGGAATCCAATCGAAGTCCCACGGGTCGTCGTCACTCATGGTCTTGGGAAGAGCAGCAGTGCAAAGTAAGTCGCTTGAGCAGAAAGAACAAGAGTTAAAATCCTAGGCAAGAGATTTGCTCGAAAAACCTTTCACTCAAAATTACCAGGTCGCAAACATGTTTCGGCTTACGGGGATGAAACCCGCTGAGCCTTCATCAGTGCTTCCGGACATAAGAGATCACAGGCCTAGGCATGAGCTAAGTAACAACCCACACCCTCGAAAACAATTCTCAAGATTATCAACTACCCAGATTGCCTATCAATAGGCATTCGCCAACACAGCAGTGGGTAAAACCCCGAGGTTGCAGGTGTCAGCCTTCAGGAGGGTCTTCTTCCGAACTGTCGATAAGCCTTGGTAACTTGGCTCGCACAAGTAACTTTTGAAGGTTACGTGCACACCTCCATGCAATGAAAATATTCCCCATATAAAATCCGCGTGAAATGAGACGATTTTTGAGGCACCTCAAAAATCGCCAAGATGGACCCACAGGTCGCATCCCTGGCCTGCTGCTGCAGCTCTGTGTATCCCGCCGCATATCTTACTTGGTCTGCCGCACAACACCAATGGACCTGCTCTCTGCAACGGAGTGGTCCGAGTGGGGACCATCCCTCTTCCCTACCCTCCGTTGCGCGCTGCAGCTGCCTCGGGGAGCCACGGAGCTAGCCAGAGCCTGGGCCCAAGCGTCGCTGGCACCGTCCCTTGGAGGCGTTGGGCTGGCGGACCCCCTCGTGTAGGGCGGGTACTCGTTCATCACGAGCACCACGCAGGTCCAGTCCTTGCTGCCCGTCCTCCGCACCCCGCCCGACAGCCCCCTCCACACTGCACCTTGTCACCTCTCCCCCCTCTTCCTGCACCCCTCGCCTCTCCACACCTGGCTCGCCGCGTGCGAGGCCGAGCTCCCCCACAGCGCGCGCGCACTGCTGCAGGCGGAGCACCAAGAGGAGCCCACGCTTGGCCCTCGAGGTCCAAGGCGGTCGGCATGCCAGCCAGGTGGCCGCCACCCGTGACATGGAGCTCAACCCCCTCTGTGGGCACACACTGGCTACTCGCTATCCCCCTTTTCCCCTCCCTACGTCTGAACCCCGCACATTTCACCATCGCCCTGGCGTTTCGAATGGGTGTGCCCTTGTCCAGCATCTGCCACTGCTCCGACCGCATCCCCATCCTCGACCCGCAGATCCCTAGCCACCCATTCCGCTGCGGGGCGGGACATGGAAGGACGGACACGCACAACGCCCTGCGGGACGAGTGCGTGTGCATGGGCAGGGATGCGGGATATATCGTCTACATGGAGACGACTTTTTTTTGCCCTGTGAACGGCCAGAAGGCGGACCTTGCAATCCGCGACCGCGACACCAGCGCCGTTTGGATCTGCGAAGTCACCATTCAAGGACCCAATCAGTCGCCAGAACCCGCATGCCCGCAAGGGCGGGGTTGGGCAGCGAGGGAACGCGAGGACGACAAGATTGACCACTACCAGACCCGGGCGGAGTACGTGGGCGTCTTCCCCCTCACAGTCGAGACGTACGGCTTCCCCTGATGGGAGGAGCCCGCCTTCCTGAAGCTCCTGGCAGGCCACCCGGAAGCTGTTTAACGGGGACCCATCGACTTACCAGGCTGCCAATATGGTGCACCAGTTCCAGCAGCGATGGTGTGCCGCTCTCCAGCACTGCCAGGCCTCCTCCTGCCTGAAAAATGCCCACGACGCCGCCCTGGCCGAGCAGCGCCTACCTCGGCCCGTTGCATGTACTCACCTGGTGCCACTGCCGGTGTGCCACTGCCGGTGTGCCACTGCCGGTGTGCCACTGCCGGTGTGCCACTGCCGGTGTGCCACTGCCGGTGAGCCACTGCCGGTTTGCCACTGCCGCTTTGGCACTGCCGGTTTGCCACTGCCGGTTTGCCACTGCCGGTTTGCCACTGCCGGTTTGCCACTGCCGGTTTGCCACTGCCGGTTTGCCACTGCCGGTTTGCCACTGCCGGTTTGCCACTGCCGGTTTGCCACTGCCGGTTTTCCACTGCCGGTTTGCCACTGCCGGTTTGCCATTGCCGGTTTGCCACTGCCGGTTTGCCACTGCCGGTTTGCCACTGCCGGTTTGCCACTGCCGGTTTGCCACTGCCGGTTTGCCTATGAATACAAGGACCGCTTGAGAATGCTAAGTATGAAAATACACGAGAGAGACATGGAGATGTATGTGGGGAGACACCGAAGGGGGGCGGGGCTGAAATGGTCCTCCCGTCCCGTGCAGTCATGAAACGAGGCGCCTTAACCCCAGACTCCCTTACAGTCATCACGTGTGGCACGTGATAGCAGCAGGAGGCCAGCATTCTAGAGGGCAGTCCCCATGACGGTTACCCAAGGACCTTCAGACCCGCCCTGGTGAGTGCGGCAAGGCAGTTGAGAACACTCTGGTATGCTCACAAGGCTTGGCAGCGGCGAGGCGAGAATCAGGTTGTGCACCACGTGCCGGTGCGCCTGAGGCTTCAATAGAAGCACGTCTAAAAGCACGAGCTGGGGGAGAGACACAGGCAGGGAAAGGCATCGATTGGGGCTTCAATTGAAGCACGTTCAGCAGCACGAGCTGGTGGGACTAAAGAGATGTGGAGGAAGGAAACTCCAAATCAACGCCTCGATAGAAGCACATTCAAATGCACGAGCTGGTGGGAAGTGCAGGTTTGACGAAGGCAAGCGACCGACTGAAGGGTTTGATGTGAGCAGAGCACACTGACTGAAGGGTTTGATGTGAGCAGAGCACACTGACTGAAGGGTTTGATGTGAGCAGAGCACACTGACTGAAGGGTTTGATGTGAGCAGAGCACACTGACTGAAGGGTTTGATGTGAGCAGAGCACACTGACTGAAGGGTTTGATGTGAGCAGAGCACACTGACTGAAGGGTTTGATGTGAGCACAGCACACTGACTGAAGGGTTTGATGTGAGCACAGCACACTGACTGAAGGGTTTGATGTGAGCAGAGCACACTGACTGAAGGGTTTGATGTGAGCAGAGCACACTGACTGACAGTGGACAACCAGCCGAGACGCAATTGGGGTGGAGGAGGAAGCGCAGCTAAGGCTGGGGAGAGAGGGACTAACACACATATGGTTCCCTCTCGCCATTCAGCTCCGAGGCACCTTACAGCTGCTGCAGGCGAGATCGGTCCAAGCCAAGTGGTGGGTAGGGGGCTAAAAAGGGAGCGGGGTGCGTGCGAAAGGGAGGCAGGGCGGAACCGAGAGCGCTTGTGTGGAAAGAATCTAAAAGGAAAGAATCTAAAAGGAAAAAGGCGAGGGGAAGAGCCCAAGGCAGTGAGGGCGGGGTGACACACGGAGGCCCGAGAGGTGGAAGCGTACCAGCGGGTCACACTCCACATAGGGGTCGGCAACGGCGCCACATGCACCCTGTAGTGAGGGTGACGAGGGCGCGATGCGATGCACGGGGAACACGAGGGCGCGACGCACGGGGAACGGGCATGGACAAGGGACAAGGGGAAAGAGGAATGAGAGAGTGAGATGACAGTCAAGGAAATGGTATGAGGAGCGGATGGAGAGGTGCACGAGGAGCATGGCCGGCTGCACTCACGCATTTGAGCACTTCGATGCTGCCAGGCGAATGCACGCGGTACAGCTGCTCTCGCCGCGCCCCGCACGTCACGCACACCACGCGGCCATCGCCAGCCCTGCCCGCCCCGCCAGCCCCCGCCAGCGCGCCGTCGACGCCGCCCATGGGCGCCTCCTCTCCTCCACACGCTGGTGACCCCGCAGCTGTGAGCGGCAGGCGCCTGGTGACACCTACAGCACTGGTGGCTTGTGGGCCGCCTAAAGCTGGCCACAGCGAGCTGCCAGGATGCAAGCGCTGGTCGTCCCTGAGGTGGGAGGACAACACGGAGGGGATCAAGAGGACGGGCTCACAGTGAGTGACGTCTCTGTGTTGAGTAAAAACAGGGGGGCGGCGAGAGGTTGAGTTGATAGTGGGGTGGGGCGAGGTCGGCTGGTCTGCTGCTTTGAGGGAGACAGCAGCACGCATTTCCCAAAAGGTGGGGAGTCGATAGGTATTGTGATGAAAACGAGTGGTTGCAAATCGGGTGCCAGTCCTCCGTTCCTCCATTCCTCCCTCACCCCGCCATCCTCTTGCTTCCTCTTCTCCTTCCCCTACCTCCCGTCACCCTCCCTCACTCCCCATCTCTTCCTTATCCTGCGATCCCGCCAAGGCACAAAAAAAACGGCCGTTGTTTTTTTTCCCCCGTATAATACGATATCACATTTTTCGGCCGTATAAAACTGTTAAAAACGGTCCGGAGCTGCTTTTTTTTACTGGTGCGAGGGGTGCAGGGGTGGTGAGCGAGGGGGGCAGGGGTGGTGAGCGAGGGGGGCAGGGGTGGTGAGCGAGGGGAGCAGGGGTGGTGAGCGAGGGGGCAGGGGTGGTGAGCGAGGGGAGCAGGGGTGGTGAGCGAGGGGAGCAGGGGTGGTGAGCGAGGGGGGCAGGGGTGGTGAGCGAGGGGGCAGGGGTGGTGAGCGAGGGGAGCAGGGGTGGTGAGCGAGGGGAGCAGGGGTGGTGAGCGAGGGGAGCAGGGGTGGTGAGCGAGGGGGTTAGGGGGGGAGAGCGAGGGGAGCAGGGGGTGGAAGGGAGAGACGGACGCAAGGAGGGCCAGCGGGGTGCGGGCGAGGGTTGTGCGGGCGAGAGGGGTGCGGGCGAGTGGGGTGCGGGGCGAGAGGGGTGCGGTCGAGTGGGGTGCGGTTCGACAGGGGTGCGGGGCGAGAGGGGTGCGGGGCGAGAGGGGTGAGGGTAATGATGGCGCGGCAAGCGCCGCCCGTACCTTGCGAGAGCGGGGAAAACGGGGTCCGGACGTGGTGCTAACGCGGCTTGAATGTGGCCTGAAGACGACCGCGAGAGAGGAATAACCAGGATAGCGGGGATCGCTACTCAAACACGGCGATGCGCTTTCGTTCCCGACGCGCGCCTTTTATTTTTTTGTCGGGAGTTCGGAGCGGAGTACGCGGTCAGGTAAGGGCATCTGTGGTGGTGCTGGCGGGGCCCGGCGAACGAATACTGCCGGCGAGTGTTTGCGAAAGTAAGTGTGCGAAACCCTGACTTCCCGGGATTTGAGGTGAAGTTACCGAAGCATAAACGTTTTGGCCGTTTTGAGAACAAAGGGAACCACACTGTACCGCTCAATGACATCCAAAAATCTGATGTGCCCAAGGTTGAAAGAGGTGACACCCCTAGCTGAAGCCGTCGGGTAACCCTTTTTGGGTTGCGTAGAAACCTTATTAAATTGGTTTCATGTTTTCGTGCGCCAGGGTGTCCAATAACTTTAGGATTACTACACCTGTAAATGGTTGAATTTTAATATTTTACACTCGTATAGTGTTGTTATAATACGACCCTTATGCTGTTTACTTTATATATGTTTTGCCTACCAACAGTCCGTGGATGAATACGGCGGACGAATGGTTTCAAAACATACATTCTGTCACATTTTTGGCACACAAAATCAACCACGTACAAACGCGCACGAATGTACAATGATGTCGTGAATGCAATTAAGTTATGCACAAATGCTTCCGTACGGCAAGCGTGGTTGACATGTACGTTTTGCAAGCAAAGCTTTCCAAGCCGACAACGACAACCACAATTTGCATGTTGCACTTAGCATATATGCACCACTCCAATGTCAAACATGTCTATTTGTTATGTTTGTATAGACTGTATAGGGTAGCCTCTTAGAGGGTACAACACTTAGCTATATTGTGTGTACTCTCCCTCTATCACTATCACTTGAATTTCTGATATGGTATCACGCGTAGGTAGGATCCCCCCCCCACCTACCGCTTCCGCTCATGCCCCCTAGCGCCCCTCCTGGGCCCCGTCGCGCTCCTCCCACCCCCCGTAGCGCCCCGTAGCGCCCCTCCTGGGCCCCGTAGCGCCCCTCCTGGGTCTCGTCGCGCCCCTCCTGGGCCTCGTAACGCCCCTCCCAGGCCCCGTCGCGCCCCTCCCAGGCCCCGTCGCGCTCCTCCCAAGCCCCGTAGCGCCCCGTCGCACCCCTCCTGGGCCCCGTAGCGCCCCTCCTGGGCCTCGTCGCGCCCCTCCTGGGCGTCGTAGCGCCCCTCCTGGGCCCTGTAACGCAACTCCCAGGCCCCGTCGCGCCCCTCCCAGGCCCCGTCGCGCCCCTCCCAGACCCCTAGCGCCCCTCCTAGGCCCCGTCGCACTCCTCCCAGGCCCCGTAGCGCCCCGTCGCGCCCCTCCTGGGCCCCGTAGCGCCCCTCCTGGGCCCCGTAGCGCCCCTCCTGGGCCCCGTCGCACCCCTCCCAGGCCCCGTCGTGCTCCTCCCCGGCCCCCTAGCGCCCCTCCTAGGCCCCGTCGCGCTCCTCCCAGGCCCCGTAGCGCCCCTCCTGGGCCCTGTCGCGCCCCTCCTGGGCCCCGTTGCGCCCTCCCTGGGCCCTGCAGCGCCCCTCCTGGGCCCCGTCGCATCCTGCCCGACCCTGTCGCAGCCGCCCGGCCCCGTCGCGCCCGCCCGGCGCCGTCGCAGCCGCCCGGCCCCGTCGCACCTGCCCGGCCCCTTCGCAGCCGCCTGGCCCCGTCGCGCCCGCCCGGCCCCGTCGCAGCCGCCTGTCCCCGTCGCCCCTGCCTGGCCCCGTCGCAGCCGTCCGGCCCCGTCGCACCCTGCCCGGCCCCGTCGCAGCCGCCCGGCCTCGTCGCACCCGCCCGGCCGCCGTCCCGCTCGCCCGGCCCCGTCGCACCGGCCCGGCCCTGCCGCACTCGCCCGGCCCCGTCGCCCCAGCCCGGCCCCGTCGCGCCCGCCCGGCCCCGTCGGGCCAGCCCCGGCCCCGTCCTCCTCCCTGGTACGGTTCCCCCCCACCCCGCCCTGCTCCGTGCCGCCCCGCACCACACTGTACTGCCTGGCACCGCACTCCACCGCACTACACCACACTGCCCCGCACTGCACTGCACTGCACCGCGCTGTACCGCCCTGTACCGCACTGCCCTGCACCGCACTGGACTGTTCCTGATGGCGGCGGAGCTTCGCTTTGACGCTGAAGGTCAGCCCCTAGAGTTCGAGGCGTGGCTTGCCGACCTCCGCCGCCAACTCACTGGCCAGCGGCAGGATGGTGAACCGCTTTCTGCACACCTTGACGGTACGCTCCCCTGCCCAGACCCCCCTGCTATTCTGTCCGCTGACCCCACACCCACTGAGCGTGAGTCTACTGCTGCCACTGCCCGTGCGCGCTCTGTCTGGCTTTCTCGCGATGCTGTCGCCCAGCTTGCCATTAGCAACGCCCTTCCCCCGTCCGAGCGCCCTCGCTTTAGGTCCCTCACTACTGCTCAGACATACTTAGATGCTGTGATCAAGCGATATTCCACCCCTCCGGCTGCCTCGGTGGGTCGCCTGATCCTCCCGATGCTCTTTCCTGACCTTGCATCTTTCCCCACTGTCTCTGACCTCGCTGCCCACCTGCGCTCGATAGATGAGACCTGGCGCGCTGCCTGCACTGACGCACAGCTTAGAGCCCACCAGCCGCCCATTACCTCTACCCTCTACCTGCTTGCCACCCGCCTCCCTGACCGCCTTGCTGTCGCCCGCGACCGCTTCCTTAGCATTCACCCCGCAGACCTCACCCTCACTGACTTTGTAGACACCCTGACTGTGATAGAGACCCGTCACCGCTCCATCGCTCAGGCGAGCGGTGTCGTACCGGTCCCTATCTTTCAGGGTTGTGCCCCCGCTCAGTGCACCTTCTCCGACAGCTCTGCCGCAGTGGCTGAGACTGCTGCTGCAGCGCAGGTCCGTTCGGGGAAGGGCCGCCGCCCCAAGGCTGGGCGCGGCGGAGGAGGCGGTGGGGGTGCGGGCGGGGGTAGTGGTGGGGTCGGGTCGCCTGGTGCTGGAGTGGACGAGGGGACTCTGCCCAGTTCAGCTGAGTCGCCGCCCCTGCAGGTGCAGCAGCCGCAGCAGCCGCCGCAGTCGCAGCCTTCGCAGCAGCCGCAGCAGCCGTCGCAGACGCGGCAGACGAGTGTCCTCCCGCCAGGGTGGCCCGGCGCTGGTGGTGGCCGGGCGCGTGGTGGTGTGCCGCGTGGTGGCTCTGGCGGCGGGCGTTGTCAGTACCAGATCCAGACCGGTCCTCGCCGCGGCTTCGTTTGCGGTAAGATCGGTCACTCCACTCCTCGCTGTTTTCGTCGCCTGGACGACCTCTTTCGTCAGCGCTTCGGCCCGTCGCCAGACCTCCCGGACTGGCACAGTTTGCTTAGTCGTCAGATTCAGATTTTTGATATGGACATGGATGCCATTGTTTCTGCTCTGCATGTGATGTATGCTGATGACTCTAGTGTGCTTCCTGCTTATTACTCACTGTTGCCTAGTGTCGGTGTGCCTAGCTTAGCCTCCCCTGCTGCGTCAGGCGTAGGATCCCCTGCTTTGTGTAGTCTTGGTGCTTCCACCGTCGTTCCGTCGCCAGACCACTCGGCTTCGCTCTCCTTCACCTTGGACTCTGGCGCCTCTCGGTGTTTCTTCCGCGACTCCACCACCCTGACGCCGCTTCCTGTTCCTGCTGCCGTTTCTCTTGCTGACCCCTCCGGCGGTCCGGTAGTCGCCCGCAGTTCCACCACCCTTCTCTGTCCGGCGGTTCCTTCGGGCTCTCTTACAGGTCTGCATATCCCCTCGTTCTCCAGGAACCAAGTTGGTGTCGGCTGCCTCCAGGACCTTGGCGTCACCACTACGTTCCCTGGTCACGAACGGTATGATGTCTGTACCGAGGCCGCCACTGGTGCCCCCCTGTCCACGTTCCCCCGGGACCCGGTGTCCGGCCTGTTCACTCTGGACATCGTGCCCCCCCCGGCTGGAGCGCCCCCGCAGATGGCTGTGTCTACCCAGGTTGCTGCTGCCTGCTCCTGTCGCTCCCTCACTCACCCGACCCTCCTGTGGCACCACCGCCTAGGTCACCATGCGCTCCCGCGTCTGCGTCACATGTCCCAGCACGGTCTTGTCCTTGGTCTCCCAGGTTCCCTCCCCGCGTTTCCCTCCTCCCCAGCTCCACCTTGCACGCCTTGTGTCGAGGGTCGGCTTCGTCGTGCCCCTCACTCCTCCTCGTTCCCCCCTACCGCCGCGCCGCTGCAGACCCTGCACCTGGACGTCTGGGGCCCCGCCCCCGTCCCTGGGCCGCGTCGCGAGCGCTACTTCCTTGTGCTTGTCGACGACTTCACTCGTTACACCACAGTCTTTCCCTTGGAGCGCAAGGCCGACGTGCCTAACGCCCTCATCCCCTGGCTTGTCTCTGCGCGTGTCCACCGCGGTCTCCCTGTCTTGCGTCTTCACTCTGACCGTGGTGGCGAGTTTGCCTCAGGTGTCCTTGGTCGATTTTGTCGTGCGGAGGGCATCACCCAGACGTTCACCCTACCGGACTCCCCACAGCAGAATGGGGTCGCTGAGCGACGCATCGGTTTGGTCATGGAGGTCGCTCGCACCTCCATGGTCCATGCCGGTGCACCCCATTTTCTGTGGCCGTTCGCGGTGCGCTACGCTTCTCACCAGCTTAACCTGTGGCCGCACCCTCAGCAGCCGCAGGTTTCGCCGACCCGTCTGTGGACTGGGTCTCCTGGTGACGCGTCTGCGTTCCACGTTTGGGGCTGCCTTGCTCACGTCCGTGCCTCCGGCACGGATAAGCTCACTGCCCGCACCCTTCCCTGCGTCTTCCTCGGTTTTCCCCTTGACACGTCCGACTGGCACTTTTACCACCCGCCGTCTCACCGCTTCTTTCACTCTCGTGACGTCACCTTTGACGAGTCCGTCTCCTACTACCGCCGCTTCCCCCACCGTGGTCCCCCGGTTACCCCCCCCCTGTTCCTGGTCACCCCTTCCCCGGTAGTCCCTGCCCCTCCTCCTCCTCCTCCCCGTCCCGCCCCCTCTGGTGTCTCCCACGTCACCCCCCTTCCGTCCGTGGACCCGGTTGAGGAGTCTTCTGACTCTGGCGGCCCTCCGGTGCAGTCCTCGCCGGCCGCCCCTCCCCAGTCCCCTCCTCCGCCGCCCCTGCCGCCGCTGCAGCCGTCGCCGTCGCCGCCGCCGTCGCAGCCCCCGTTCGCTGACTCTGGGG